AGTATCAATTACAGGTTCATTTGGATGATGGGATAAATTGGTGTTCAGACCACTAGACAATGACACAAATTGGAGGTGGGGGGGAAAGGATGCCAGAGGGGACTGACCTCTATCCTGAAGTAAAGCCGAATTCTTCATATCCTTGCAAATTAAGTAACATTAAGTAAGTTAATTCTAAACTGCTGGTTGTCTCATGAAGAGAAAGCCACCCGCAGCAGAAGTGAAGCAGGTATTCCTGAAGAGGCTTTTTCTTTGAGGGCCTAATTAGAGAGATGTTAACACTCCTGTAGCACCCCAGCTCCCCCAGTGTTATGACAAGAGGAGATTGAAATAAAAATGACTTGTGTTTAAAAATAAATGTTTTACCAGACACAAAAAGTCACAACTTGTATGACTTCATTTATATTAAATAGGTAGAACAGGTAAATCCCTAAGAGACAGAAAGCAGATCGGTGGTTGTCAGTGGTTGAGGGGAAGGAAAAATGGGGAATAACTGCTTAACATGTACGGGGTTTTAATTTGGAGGGCGGTGAAAATGTTCTGGGATAGTTGCACAACACTGTGAATGTATTAATTGCCACTGGCTCAGTCGTTAAGCATCTGCCTTTGGCTCAGGTCATGATCCCGGGGTCCTGGGATCGAGCCCCACATCGGGCTCCCTGCTCGGCGGAAATCCTGCTTCTCCCTCTCCCACTCCCCCTGCTTGTGTTCCCTCTCTCGCTGTGTCTCTATCAAATAAATAAATAAAATCTTTAAAAATAATAAAAAATAAAATGGCTAATTTGGGGGCACCTGGGTGGTACAGTTGGCTAAGCTTCCGACTCTTCGTTTCAGCTCAGGCCGTGATCTCAGGGTCATGGGATCGAGCCCCCCCCCAACCAGCCCCACATTGGGCTCCACGCTCAGGGGATAGAGTCTGCTTCAGATTCTCTCTCCCGTTGCCCCTCCTGCTCATGAGCACTCACTCTCTCTCTCTCTCAAATAATAAATAAATAAATCTTTAAAATGGCTAATATTATGCTATGTGAATTTCACCTGAATAAAAAAAATAAATGTTTTATAATTAAATGTTTTCTAATTGAAGACCTCAGTATTTCTCATTGCTCAACCAACTACCACTACTGGGAAATGAGGAGGATTCTAGTCCCATTCCATAGTGATAAGAGGGATTAAGTAGGCCACTAAGTTCTAATACTTGTCACCCTCAGGCCTTTCCTGTGAAAAGCCTCATACTTCCCCAGAATGTGCGTAGCAGGGAAGTAATTCAAACCAGCGACCCCTGACTTGCTTGGCCCTTGACAATTAAGTCGCAGCAGCAACTGTTTACCTGCGGGGCAGAGCGCCAGCCAGGCCATCAAAAGTCGATGGGGTGCACCTGCGCTTACTAACCTCTGAGCCCGCCCCCCCACACCAGACCCAGGGGACCTCGCTGCTTTCTGGGCAGTGGCCGGCTCAGGGCGGGGGCGCGGCGGGCAGCAGGCAAAGACTGAGAATCATTTTCATTCAGTAGGAAAATATGAAGACCTTGCTCTTGCCACACTCTTTCAGGATCAAAGAAAATCGATTTTAACAGAGTAGAAGCATCTTTGGAAGAGACGCAGTTTTTCCCTTTTTTGATTCTAAGAAGAATATACGCTGCAACACGCAGATCCAAAGCAGTCAGCTGTGAAGTGAAAATAGAAGCCCAAAACCTTGGGAGGAATAAAAACACATTGAGAACAGAGGTAAAAAGAAGGGCTTTGAAAAGAAACTACAAGACTATGTCACAACAATGACTAACAAGTCTCTGTAAAAGCAGAAAGGGGATGGCCCAGTCTTACCTGACACCTCCCCTCTCTTACCCCACACCATGCAATCAGGGCCACGGACAAGGAAGCCTCCTAGGCCCTCACCCAAGCAACTTTCTGAACCATTCAGTATGTCTCACATTCTACTTCTTGACATAGCTCTAATTTTTCTGGTTTTGACCTTCTGACCTTTTTTCCAACCACACTTTGTCTCACCACCCAGACTTAACAGTTAGCCTTGGGATTTGTTTTTCCTTGAGCAAGATCTAGACATTCCTCTGGGAATGCTGCCTTTGGTGGCTTGGTGCACCTTTAGCCTGACCCAGGGATGTCACCCTTCACTGTGACTCATGGAAAAGTGTTCAGTTCTGTTTTGGTGTACCCTTGCTTTTCTCAGGTGCATCCCTCAAGGCTAAGACTAAAAATAAAGCTCTAATGCTGATTTCAGGCTCACAAATGGCCAGACAAGCTCCATATTAAGAAAGAATTTTTAAATATAATGAGAAAGCAAAATATATTAAATGCTTTCAAAATCCCCTAATTCTACTGCAATATGCCAATTGACTCAGTCATATGTTTTCCTGTATTGTGTAAGAAAAACCCATGTGGTCTCATCACAAAATGTTCTACACACCACAGAAATTAAAGTATTATTTTTCTGGAAAAATTCTGAAAACAGGGAAATAGCGTCTGTTTCTTATGCCTGTCATGCTATGGAATGAAACGCAACATGGGGAGTGGGTTACCGAGGCATCTATTTTCCCTTTGATAGGAATGCTGAGCTAGAACATCAGTCTTGAGCTCTCTTGAGGTTAAGCAGTATGGACAGGGACTGCAGTGTTGTATGTGCGCAGTTCGTGTCCTCAGCCAGGACAGCGCCCCGTCACTCCGTCCGCATATCCCTGCCACAGCGGTGCACTGACCCTTAGCTCCTCTGCTTACTGACTCTGAGCCTGCTTCTCCACTAGTACCAGGGGAAGAGTAACACCCATTATTAATTATAGTCAGGGGTTAAACTGTGCCCCCCAAAAGGTATACTGAAGTGCTAACCCTCCGTACCTCAGAATGTGACCTTATTTGGAAAGAGGGTCATTATAAGTGTATTAGTTAAGGTGAGATGATACTGGAGTAGGATGCTGAATCTAGTATGCCTACTGTCCTTCTAAGAAAAGGAAAGACAGCCCTGTGAAGACACAAACACACAGGGAGAATGACATGTGAGGACAGAGGCAGAGACTGATGTGATGTGGCAGCAAACCTAGGAAAGCCAAGGACTGATGGCCACCACCAGAAGCTATGAAGGGGCAAGGAAGGATTCTCCCCTTTATGTCTCAGAGAGAGCATCGCCCTCTCTCTCTTTTTTTTTTTTATTATGTTCAGTTAGCCAGCATTTGGTACATCACTAGTTTTTGATGTGTTCAACGATCCATTAGTTGCATAAAACACCCTCTCTTGCCCGTCTTGACTTTAGACTTCTAGCCTACAGAACTGTGAGACAATATATTTCTGTTATTTCGAGTCCCCCAGTTTGTGGTACTTTGTTACCGTAGCCCTAAGAACTAATATAGTAGTGGAGGTATAATTTATTTGGTGTCTGTGTGTACATGTGTGTGTTTTAAATGCAGAAGAAACACACACAGAATCAACCACGTAGGCAGGAGAAAAGGTAACTTTTCTTATGGATTTGAACTAAGGAAGTGACATTATTTTCTCTGAAGCTGACACTGCGTCTCTAAATCCACCTCCCACTACTGTCCTGTCCACTCTGCTCCAGCTCACTGGCCTCCTGGCTATGCCTGAAATATCCCACCTTGTTCACTCCTTAGGGTCTTTGCTTCAGCTGCTTCCTTTGCCTAGAACATGCCCACGGTGAACTCCTGATTTCCTGCATTTAACATTGCAATGTGTACTCCTGTGCCACCCAGCACTCCCAGTTCCCCTTAGTTCTTCTTTTTCTTGTTTCCATATTCTTATTAGCTTCTAATAGCCTAGTAATTTATTATTTCTCTATTACATGCATTATTTATTATCTGTCTCCCTCTATGCTAGAACATAAGCTCCATGAGGGCAGAGGTCTTCATGTTTTGCTCATTGATGTGACAAACACCTAAAACAGTACCTAGTTCATAATAGGTACTTGACAAAGATTCTTTAAAATCCATTATTTGGGGCACCTGGGTGGCTCAGTCATTAAGCGTCTGCCTTCGGCTCAGGTCGTGATCCCAGGGTCTGGGACCGAGCCCCGCACTGGGCTCCCTGCTCTGTGGGAAGCCTGCTTCTCCCTCTCCCATTCCCCCTGCTTGTGTTCCCTCTCTCGCTGTCTCTCTCTCTGTCAAATAAATAAAATCTCTGAAAAATAAATAAACAAAACAAAATCCATTATTTATTTTTAATTAACCACTATGAAGCTGTACATGTGTACTATAAAACATTAGAAAAAATGAAAAACTTCAAGTTCCCACCATCCAATAATATCTTCCAAGTTATGATAAATCAGAATGGTTTTTATATTCTTTTGAGTGACTGCCTAAGGAATTCTGTCTCTTAAGGAAAATGGTATGGATAACATCCACCTTACAAGACTTGGTACATGGATTAAATGAAATAATGTATCCAAACACTTAATATAATGCTTGCCATAACAACTCATAGAGGTATTTTTCTTTCCTTCGATCTTGTCTTTAACTTTCATCCTTTGCCCCAACTTCTAAAAAGCAGCAGATACTTGTAGACAAGAGAATGGTATAATGTTGTTCTGACAGGGGATGCAGGTGGGGAAGGTCTCCCACACCTGGCACTCAAGATGGAGTTCCCAAATTCACAGTACCAAGCTCTACGGCCCAAATGCACCATGAGACACAAGACCACTAACTATTGCATAGAATTTTCTAACAGTAACAAAACAATAAACAGTGATAATTACATTTTTATATTACATCCTCCCATTTGCAAAAGCTTTTCATATTAATTTTTTCATACAGATGAAAGAAAGGGGCTCAGAGAATTTAAGTGATGTGGTCAAGTTTATACAGCTGCTAAGAAGAGCTGAGAATTAAATCTAGAATTAGAAGGACATCAGCAACAAGGATCTTTTAACTTGACAGTGAAATGCATTCTATCCATTTCTAGAGTCCAACTCACAATAAATAAAATATTCTTTAGTACTTTCTCCATAAGCTACTTCCCTCTCCATCCTCTAAACAAACGACTTACCTATCTTAACAGCCACACGTCCTTCCCTTGCTGGGTAACTCTCCACCAAAATTTTCTTCTTGTAAAAAGGAGATCAGTGGTTAAGCGTACCAGAAAATGGAGTACATTGCTGAGAAGACCTGGGAATCACTGCTCTTGTGAACTGTTGAGAAAAAACAAAACATCAAGAACTTTATATCTTCAGTCCTCTTGGGAAGCCTTCAAAATTAATCTTTTTGCCATTCTGGCAGAAGTCAGTACAAAGGAGTGTTTTTTGTTTTTGCTTTTGCTTTTTCTGAGGTTTTAAATTAGGTTTAATAAAATTAAACTTGCATTCCTTAGCCTAATTTATTCTAGGGCTTTAAAAGCATTTATTATAAATTATTTCTACTTTTGAAGGGACTGAAAGAATCATATCCATGAATACCGAGGCTCCCAATCTTTCTTACATACAGAATTATCACATTTATTTTTCATGGTAGTTTAACTAAAATTCAAGGAGCTAGAAGACACAAATTCAACTTAGCAGAGAATTAAAGGCAGTAATCATTAGATTGTTTCCTCCCCCAGAGGTAGCAAAGGCACCTTTTTATTCAAATACCAATCACAGAGTTAATTAGGTTAATGGGCTCCCTGTGGGTAGGGCATGCACAATCTTTTATAAGCTTGCCAGAATGAAAACCGTCACATAGTGATTGTAGATTTTAACTGGAATGGATGTGGGAAATGTCCAGGAGACATCCCCTGATTCAAATATGCCTTTTGCAGAGCTAAGAAAGAAGACAACACTCTGCGGCAATGACACAGAAAGAAATCTCTTCAAATCTCAGGATGACAATGGGTGTCTGGCCCTGACGAGGAGTTGACTGTATGGGCTTAGAGAAGGATTCCCAGCTCTGGCTACAAGGGGCTAGCTTGTATCAGACCAACTTTCCATCGAACACAACTAGAAAAGCTGGATAAGTACTTAAAAACCTGTTTAAAGGCACTGGAGTGTTACCAAGGTAGCCAGGACGTAAGAGGCCAAGACCTTTGGGAGAAGAAAAACAAAACTGAGACAAATCATTATACTGCTTTTCCTTTCAAGCCATCTACTTATCTTGGGGCACCTGGGTGGCTCAATCGGTTAAGCGTCCAACTCTTGATTTTGGCTCAGGTCATGATCTCAGGGCTGTGAGATCAAGCTGCGCACTGGGCTCCATGCTGGGCATGGAGCCTGCTTAAGATTCTCTTTCTCCCTCTGCCCCTTCTTTCCCTCTCTCTCTCTCTCTAAAAAAAAAAAGGACATTTACTGATCTTAAAGAGGCACAGGGCAAAACTGCTGAGAAGCCAAGCAGAAAGCAGCTGCTTAGAGGCACATAAAATGAGCAGACCAAAAAATACCAGAGCTGAGTACCAAATCAGTTTGGTCTCTCTTTGGATTAAGAAGGTCTGCCCTACTCTAACTGCCTATCAGAAGCAAAAGTAAGCCCCATAGAGGAAGATACCACCATCTACAGTATCTGTGCTTCTTTATACAAAATGTCCTGCATTCAATCAACAATACCAGGCATTTCAGGGCATAGATTCAAGGAAGAAACAGAGAATGAAAACAGGACCCAGAGATGACGAGTCATAGAATATGGTCTTTAAAATAACTGCGATGTGTATATTCGAAATTATAAAGATTATAAAATATTTTAACACATATCTCTCAGTAAGTCACAGAACAAGCAAAAAAAAAAAAGACAAAAAATAAGAATACATAAGATTTGAGTAACACAATTAACAAACTCAGCCTTACTAACCTATATGGAATAGGTTGCCCCCAACAACTGTCACTACATATTCTTTTAAGGTACACATGAAACATTTACAGAAATTAACCACATGTGGGTCATAAAGGAACTTTCAAGATATTTCAACAAATAGAAACCACAGAGTACTTTTTTGAACTTACCATTCTGAAATAATATAGATGCACAGGAAATAGGAAAAATAGTAACTTTTTAAAAGCAAAATATAATTTACATATGGTAAAATAAGCTACTTTTAAGTGTATACTTCGATACATTTTGATAAAGGAATCCAATTGTGTAACCACCAACAAAATAAAAATATAGAGCATTTCCATCACTCCAGAAAGTTCCCTCATGCCCCTTTTTGTGAATTGCCACAACCCAAAGGCAGTCACTGTTCTCATTTCTATATTTCTATCACCAAAGATTAGTTCTGAACTTCATACAAATGGGCTCATATAGAATGTACTCTTTTCTATGAAAATACCACAACTTATAATATATTCTCCTGATGAATGGACATTTGGTAGTTTCCATTTAATATAACACTGCTATAAACATTCTTGTACAAACCTTTTTGTGAACATGTATTTCCATTTCTCTTGGATAAACACCTAGGAGTGGAACTGCTAGGTTACAGAGTTGATGAATGTTTAACTTTATAAGAAACTGCCAAACATTTTTCCAAAATGGCTGTATCATTTTATACTCCCATCAGTAACACATAGGAGTTCCAGTTTACACAGCCTCATCGACATTTGGTGTTGGCAGACTTTCAATTTGAGCCATTCTAGTGCGAGGTTTTGATTTGCAACTCCCTGGTGACTAATAGTTGTAGCTTTTTAAAAATCTTCTTTTATGCAGTGTCTGTTCTAAGACTTTTGTCCATTTTTTAAATTGTAGTTCTTACATTACTAACAGTTTTTATATTTTGATACCAGTCCTCTGTCAGATATACGTATTACATATTTTTTCTCCCAATCTGTGGTTTTCCTTTACGATGTCTGTCTTTTTGATGATCAGAAGTTTTTAATGTTGATGAACTCCAATTTATCATTTTTTCTTTATGTTTAGTGCTTTCAGTGTCCTTTAACAATCTTTGCTTAAAGTCTACTTAAAAGCCTAAAAATATTCTCCAGGAGTTCTGCAGTTTTAGCTTTATGATATATCTCAAATTGATTTTTGTTTGTGGCATAATGCAAAGGCAAGAGGTTTATTTTCCTCCCACTTGTTCTAGTAACACTTGTTGAAAAGACTTTCCCTCCCTAATTGAATTGTCATAGCACCCTCATCAATTAATTGACATACAGCATGGTATGTTTTCAATTAAGCTAGAAATCAATGTATAAGTGAAAACCAGTCCTCAAGTGTTTGACAATTAAGCAGTACATATCTAAATAACCAATAGGTCAGAGAAGAAATCACAATGGGAATTAGAAAAAATTTTTGATGTAAGTAATAGTGACATGATAAATTAAAAATGGTGAAATGTAGCTATGGTTATATTCAAAAAGTTTAGAAAGCAATCGTTTATCTATCTCAAGGAATTAGAGAAAGAAGAGAAATAAATCCAAAGAAAGAGGAAGTAAATAATAAAAAATAAGAGCAGAAATCATCAACGAACTTTAGAATAAGTAAAGAAAAGTCATCAAAGGCAAAAAGTTGGTTCTTTGAAAAGGACTAGTAATACTAATAAATCCTTCAGCAAACTCAAGAGCCAAAGCTGTTCATTCTCAACTCTATTACCTGAGTCTTCTTCCCACAACGCTATTTCAGAAAAAGTCTCCTCAGTTCCTCTGTTGTTGTTCCCAAAGACAAGCACAGGGTTTATTTTGCTCATGAAAGTTTTGCTTTTATTTTTTACAGAGAAACAACTACAGAATAACAGAAATAAACAGGGGGACATTGCAAAGTTCCCAGAATCTCAAATATGAGCTCTTTGCCAGCACCATTATGAGGTCAAAACAATATTGACCTAATATCTAACAAGACATCAGTCCCCAAGATGTGAAACTATCAATAAAACTATTTAAAATACTGATTTACATCCACTATTATTAAGAGTGAACTACATTCTTAGTGCATATTCTGCCTTAAAAGGGCAACAAACAACACAAAAAAGCCAATGTGAGTAGCAAGATATTTTAAAATTAAGTCTCCAGCCCTATAATCCAGCAATTCCATTACTAAGTATTTACCCAAAGGATAGAAAAATACTGATTCAAAGGGGTACATGCACCCCAATGTTTATAGCAGCATTAACAATAGCCAAATTATGGAAAAAGCCAAATGTCCATCGACTGATGAATGCATAAAGAATGCATAATACAGGGCGCCTGGGTGGCTCAGTTGGTTAAGTGACTGCCTTTGGCTCAGGTCATGATCCTGGAGTCCCAGGATCGAGTCCCATGTCGGGCTCCTTGCTCAGCAGGGGGTCTGCTTCTCCCTCTGACCCTCCCCCCTCTCGTGTGCTCTCTCTCTCATTCTCTCTCTCTCAAATAAATAAAATCTTTAAAAAAAAAAAAAGAATGCATAATACACACACACACATGCACACACACAATGGAATATTACTCGGCCACCAAAAAGTATGAAATCTTGCCATTTGCAATGACATGATGGAGCTAGAGATATTATGCTAAGCGAAATAACTCAGAGAAAGACACAAACCATATGATCTCACTCATATGAGCAATTTAAGAAACAAAACAGATGAACATAGGGGAAGGAAAAAAAACAGAGGGAAGCAAATCATAAGAGACTCTTAACTACAGAAAACAAGATGAGGGTTGCTGGAGGGAGGTGGGGGGATGGGCTAAATGGGTGATGGGAATTAAGGAGCACTTGTTGTGATGAGCACTGGGTGACGTATGGAAGTGATGAATCACTAAATTCTACACCCGAAGCCAATATTACTCTACATGTTAACCTGCTAGAATTTAAATAAAACTTGAAATAAGAAAAATAAAATAATAAAATCACATTAAGTCTCCAGAATGTGAATATAAATCTCTATATGTTGACACTCAATACAATAAACAGTAATAAGTATTTTCAAACAAAAGATAAAAGGCCACACATCGTCTGTGAAATATTCTGCCACTGTGAAAAATGATTTAAATAATATACCAAAATCAACCACTTGTATTAGTAATTTATGGATAATTACATAATGCACAGATAAAATATGGCAATCAAATTCATTCCTTAGTCAACAGTTAAAGAAAATGTTGGTGGAGATCTAAGGAAATAAATATTCAAAAATTACTCACCATGCAAAATTTATCATACTATTCATGAAAGTACACGTTTCTGTCTCAATAATGAAAGACATAAAGAACTACTTTTTTAGTAAACCACTAAAGAAATGAGTACCATGGAAGAA